AGGGGGTCCTGGACCAGGGGGGGGCCTCACTTTGCCCAGTGGCTGTGGTCACCCCCCCGCCGGAGACGCCAGGACGCTCCCAGGACCCTCTAAAATAGCTCCAGGACGCCCTCAGGACAGCCCAAGAGAGGTCCGAAGCGGCCCGGGAGCACTCCAAGACTGTTAAAAAGCTGCCAAAGCGTCCCGGCAGGTCTCCGACAGCATTCCCGGGAGGGGCCCAATAGGAAATTGTCACTGATTTTTAGTGGGTTTTGAACGGTTTTGGCGTTCTCCCCAGTTCGGCTTCCAGACGCTCCAAAGCGGCCCAAGAGGCCCGAAAGATCGCCTCAAGACGAACCCAGAGGCCCCCAAGAGACCACCCGAGACAGCCCAAGAGGGCCCCAAGACGGCCCAGGAAGCGTCCAAGACGGCCCAAAAGAGCTCCCAGAACACTCCAAGAGGAGCCCCAGATGGGGAACACGAACTGACATTTCGAGCCCTCACCCACCAGAAGCTCCCAAGAGGCCCCCAGGAGTCCGCAAGAGGCCTCGAGCGGCCCCCAGGAAGCTCCAAGAGGCCTCCACGCCGAAAGGGACCCGCAAGGCTTCCAGACGCTGGTGATAATGACAATGATGATTATGCAGGGCGGCCTCAGACCCACAACCTCAATCCCCAATACTGCTCACGCGGCATGCAAGACGCTGCGGAGATATCCTCGAGTTCGGCGGGGGAGCTTCGGAGACGACGGTGACGAAAATGATGACGATGATGACGACTATTATGAAGTTGACGACGACGATGATGATGATGATGATGATGATGATGATGATGATGATGATGATGATGATGATGAGGAAAAAGATCATGATGATGATGTTGACAGTGGGAATGATGATGCTGATGATGATGTTGATGATGGTGATCGTGATGTGAGTGATGGTGGTGATGCTGACGATCATGATGACGATGACGGTGATGCCGTTGAGGATGGTGATGCTGACGATCATTATGATGATGCTGCTGATGGTCAGGATGATACCGCCGATGCTGATAATAATGGTGGCGATGCTGTTTATGGTGCTTGTGATGCAGGAGTGGGCGGATGATAAAGACGATGACGATGATGATGACGATAACGATGACGACGGTCACGACGACGACGACGATAATGATGACGATGGCGATGATGAGGATGATTATGTTGATAATTCAGGTGACGATATTGACGATGATGACGACGATGGCGATGATGACGATGGTGATGACGATGTTGCTGCTGATGGTGGTGATGGTGACGATTGTGATGATGGTGATGGTCATGGTGATGATGACGATGCCGCTGACGATGACGCCGGATATGATGGTGATGAGGATGGCGATGATGACGATGACGATTATCCTAGCTAGAACTTGAGCGCGCGCGAAGCGCGCGCGATGGTTCTAGTATATATATATATATATATATCTATATATATATAGATATATAGATATGTCATTTTGATCACTGGCAAGGTTGACTCTCAGATCCTTCCCGCCCGTTCATAGTTTGTGTTCAGTCTGCCGCAAATGCACCTGCCCCTATTCCTCCTCCACCTCACTCCTTTTTTCACTTCCCCATCAGGTCCTGCCCGAGGGTTTCTAGTGCTTGGAGCAAGCGGACATGTGGCGATCATGCGCCCTTCCGCCAGGCCCTCGCCGAGGACCTGGTGGGAGAGCGCACGACCCCCGAGGAGCCTCTGACTCATTGGGAGTTCCTCTGAGGATTTCTCGTGCTTTCTCGGGGGTGCTTCGGGGGTTCCCTGGGCCGCAGAGCCCCTCGCGTCGCAAGAAATCACGGCGGGAGTTGTTTGACGATGTTCGGCCCTTGAGGTGCCCCGGGACCGTCAAAAAACAACTAGGAATGAAACGCCGGCCCTGGGGAAAGGCTTGGGATTTCCGGGGGCCACGCTTTGAAACAACGAAGGCTCGATGTCATGGGCTTCTCGAGATGTCCTTGGGTTCTCTGTGTTGCTCTGGTTGGGAATGCATTGCTCAGCGCTGCTTGAAATTACTCTGCGCAGCTCTGCCTTGCCCTGTGGTGTTGGGTCTTCGTCTTGCGCCCGGCGAACCGTAATTCCTCCTACCCCTCCCTCCACTCCTCCTCCTCCTCCTCCTCCTCCTCCTCCTCCTCCTCCTCCTCCTCCTCCTCCTCCCCCTCATCATCATCATCATCATCATCATCACCATCATCATCATCATCATCATCATCATCATCACCATCATCATCATCATAATTCCATCATCGTTGTCATCATCATCATCATCATCATCATCATCATCATCATCATCATCATTAGCATAACCATCATCATCAGCGTCATCATTATCAGCATCATCATTGAACGGGTTATATTCATATTCATCCTAGTTATCATCATCATCATTATCATCACCGTCGTCATCATAATCATATTGGCATTTACGTCAATTTTAATACTCAGCATCGTCCCCATCAGCATCCTCATCATCAACATCATCGTCACCATCATCATCGTCATCGTATTCAACGTTATCCTCGTCATTTTCGTCATCGTCATCGTCATCGTCGCCGTCATCATCATCATCATCATCATCATCATCATCCTCATCATAATCATCATCATCATCATCATCATCATCATCATCATCATCATCATCATCATCATCATCATCATCATCATCATCATCAGCATCGTCATCATCATCATCATCATGGCCGCCATCATCACCATTATTGCCACTATCGTCGTCATCGTCACCATCACCGCCATCAGCTTCGGCACGCCCCTCACGCGCTTCGATGCTCCATAGCGAGCTCCAACGAAGGCCTCATTGGCGGTGTCCACATGCATCCGCGCCAACAATTTCGGCACACACCTCACACGCTTCGTGGCCCCATATGGAGCTCCACCGAAGGCCCCAGCGGCACAGTCCGCATGGCATACCTGCACCCGTGTCGGCACACCGCTCACACTTTTCAAGACCCCATAGGGAGCGCCGTCGCAAGCCTCAGTGGCACAATCCGCATGGCGTACCCGCGCCCGATTCGGCACACACCGCACGTTTCGTGGCCCCATAAGGAGCTCCACCGAAGGCCCCAGTGGCACAGTCCGCATGGCGTACCCGCATCCGATGCGGCACACCCTTCACACGTTTCGTGGCCCCATAGGAAGCTCCGCCGCTCGCCCCAGCGGCACAGTCCGCACGGCGCACCCGCACCCGGGTCGGCACAACACTCACACCTTTCGAGGCCTCAGAGGGAGCCCCGTCGCAGGCCCCAGTGGCACAGTCCGCATGGCGTACCCGCATCCGATTCGGCACACCCTTCACACGCGTCGTGGCCCCATGGAGCACCAACCAAGCAAAGGTCCGATCGGACGCCCGAAAGCGTCACGCTCCACTAGTCCCGCTAGTGGGGACGGCGCAACTGTAAAACAGGCTTGCCTTGACTCGAGCAAAGCTGGCGGCGAAGGTGAAACATGTGACACAGTAGTCTGCCTGGGCCACCACGTGGGGCATCATATTAAGGATCTGCAACATCGCTAACATCGTCATCTTTATCGTCGTCGCCATCACCACCTTCATCATCACCGTCGTCACGCCACCAGCAGTTGTCATCATCGTCATCATCAGTATCATGATCATCATCGTCATCATCATCATCATCATCAGCATCATTATCCTCAGCGGTTTCGGCTCTCGGACGCGACCAGTTCGCTTTCCGCGCCCTCCCCGAAACATAAGCAGCCGCCATGGGCAAGAGAGCAGCTGAGGCGGCGCAAGCCCCGTCGCCTGCGAAGAAGGCGGCCTCACCAGCCGCTGCGTCCGCCGCTGCCTCTGGCGCGCCGCCTGCCCCGCTGTGCATCACGCAGCTCCTCGAGACGGAGAACGCGTCATGTCATGTCACGGAGTGGGTGCGTCAAGTGAAGAACTACGTCGACAACGGTTTGCTCGGTTTCATGGAGCAGCGCAAGCGCGAGTTTTCCTTCGCGTTGCCCGCCAAGTGTTCTATGATTCCGCCGTTGGCCATCACTCAAGCTGCCTCTGGCGCAAACCTCACTGCGTTTCGCGAGGTGATGGGCCACGACAACCTGGTTGCGAGCTTCTCCCGGACCAAGCAGTGCGAGGCAGCGGGGACGGTGTGGATGTTGGATCCGATTTGCCCGGACATCGACGACGTCTCCATAAGCCAGCTCGAGGGTGCCATGGGTGTGTGGTCGGAGGGCACGTACCTCCTCTCCTCCAGTCACGCGCCCTAGCGGCGCCTCTCCTTCGACGCGCATCTCCCCGTCTTGGTGGTCGACGCCAAGGTCGCCCGGCGCGTTGAGCCTGGCAAGCCTGGGGTTTGCTTGACCGAGGCTCTGGCCACGCTCGCAGGGCGCGCGGTGGTGATCACGTGGTGCGCTGCTATGAGCCAGGCGCTCCAGCTGTCCAACGATGACCGCGTGTGGCATCTGTTCAACGCCGCGTTGTCCGCGCCCATCAGGATGCGCTTGCTGCCCGATGGCGACGCGACCCGCTTGGCCGCCCTGACCTTTTCAGAGAAGATGTTCTCTGCGTGCGCTGCCTCTGGCGCTGATTCCTTCTGGCGGTTCGCAGAAAAAGCGCGCCGCTTGACCGACGCGGCGAACGCGTTCGCCAGACAGGAACCGCTGTCGAAGCTGGAGTCTGCGATCAAGACCTACGGCCTCGCCTTCAAAGGAAAACCGCGCGCCGCTGCAACCGTCGCGGCGATGAAAGGTCTGCAGCCTTTCGCCCACGACGGCGCCTGCGGTTCGGCTTTCGCACTGGCCGAAGTGCATTGCCCAGAGCTTCGCGAACCCGCGCTTCTCATGGGGATCGGTTTCGGCTGCTCCACGAGGGGTGTCTCTGACGCCAAGGCAAGGGAGCACTTCGTTTCCATCATGAACAGCCTCCGCGTGGCCCGCCTGGCGGGCGACGCTCCGAAGGGTGAGGAGCTGTCCGTGAGCCGAGTCGTCGGGCGCGAGAAGTAGACGCCAGCGATGCTCCACGCGTTCTTCAGGAAGAAGGAGCTCGTCGAGTACATCTTCCACGAGTCGTCTCTCATTGACAAGGCTATGCAGACTGACATGGCCGCATTGAAGACGCCTCTCAGCATCGTCCAGAAGTTCGCTACCTCTGGTGTGGATGGGTCTGTGGCTTCGCACCGGGCGTCCGACTCAGGCGGCGGCGCTGACGGGGTGGACGCGCTGTTTGCGCTCAAAGTGGCTGAGTATCGGAGTGGGGTGGATGCCAAGGCGGAGGCGACGATCGACGTCGCGTGGCCTGCGTGGCCCGGCGCTTTCGACGACGAAACTGCAGATCTAGCCTTGCAGGAGATGCGGAGCAGCGCGCCAGGGTTCCTCTGGCACGCGTACCTCAACGAGACCAGCCAGCAGGTGGGTGCCAATTACCGCGCCTTCGTGGCCGCGTGCGCCAGTGGGCCTATCCCCGCCGCCCCCGAGCTCGATCAAAATTTCGGCTTGTTGGGGGTCTCCGAGTCCGGGGAGGAGCAAAAGGAAGAGCTTCAGATGTTCCAGGAGGAGCAGCTCAAGCAGCTCCGCAGGAAAACCGTCAAGTTCGTCTCTTTGCCGGCTGTCGGCGCCGCCTCTGGCGCGGAGTATGCAATGCCGCAGATGCAGAGCGCGTGGGAGACGCTCAGCCTCGGGCGCCGCTTCGGGGGGAAGACAGGCGACGTCCGCGCGTTCATCCTCTCGGCAGAGCTCTCCCCGCCCAACCTCGCCAAGCAAGGCGCCAAGGCGAGGTTGAGCGAGCAAATGCAATGCGACGAAGCGAAGTTCAAGCGCGTCATCGAGTTCTCCATGCAGAAAAGGGGGAAGGATGATATCACCATCCTCCTCGACGGCAGGAGCCGGGCGAACCGCCGCGCCATTGAGTCCTCGGAGGAGACGCAGACAGGCGGCCCCCGCGCGTTCGTCGAGCGCTGGTTCGCGCACGCGCGGCCGACCGAGAAGGAGGGCCCGCGGGCCGCGGCCAGGGCGTCGAGCTACACCATCAACAACAAGGAGATGGCGCATTTCTCGCCGCCACTCAAGGGCCCGCGGAAAGTGGCGCACCTCTCTGAGTTCAACGCGCGCGGCGAGACCTCGAGCGCAGCCGCGACGTACAGCGGCATCCACGCGCGGCGCTTCTCGCCCCCCCCCCCCCCCGCGTGTCTCACGAGGCCAAGACGAGCATCCTGGAGGCTGCATCTTGCGCCGCGCTCGATGTCAAGCTAGCGCGCCTGCAAGGGGGCATCGACGAGAAGGGCCACCCGTTCTCGCGCAGCGAGGCGAAGCCCCTCAGCTTCTGGCAGGCGATCATGGAGCACCACAAAGTGACCCACATCGTGGACTTCACTGCAGGCCCCGGCGCCTTGGCCGCCGCTGCCTCTGGCGAAATGGAGTGCGAAGGCATCGCTTGCGACGATGCGCTTCGGGGCCGGCTCGACTCCATCGTGGACAGGCGCGTCGCGCACAAGGCGGGCCGCGAGGAGGGGTGCGCGGGGCAATTGGGCGGCGACGCGGACTTCGCCCAGAAAGCCAGCAAGTATATCAGCGGAACCACGATGGCGGCGCGCCGGTTGTTGATGCCAGCGGCCGAGGACGGCAACGAGGACGAGGAGGATGATGAGGCTGACGCGAGCTCGGACGACAACTAGTCGGTTGTTTGATACGCTGCCTCTGGCGCGCCGCGTGCCACGTGGCATTCCTTTCCGAGTGGGGCCCAGTGGCATCGGCTCTGTCCTGCAAGGGTTTTTTGATTCTGACTAACGTGCAGCGGCGCGTCTGCCGACGCAGATTTGTTGGCCGCACTTGATGTGATTTGCGGCGTCGCTCGGTTCGAACAAAATACCCGTTGTCCCAGTCGCGGCTGGTCACGGACGCCGTCAGCACCGCTGCCGCCGTCGCCGCAGGTCGCGATCGCGATCTCGTCGTCATCATCGCCATCGGCGCCGCCGCATTATTGGTGGTCCTGTTTCGTTTTCCCTTGGCCCTCCTAAACTTTTCGGGTGGTCTTGTTTAGTTTTCTATTGGTTTTCGTTACTTTTCTCCTGGTCTTGTTTAGTTTCCCTGTGGTCTCGTTTAGTTGCCCAGTGGTCTTGTTCTTTTTTCTTGGTCCTGCTCAGTTTTTCTCCTGGTCATGTTTAGTTTTCCTTTGGTCCCGTTTAGTTTTGCCCCGGTCTTGTTCGGCTTTCTCCTGGCCTTGTTCCGTTTTCTCGTGGCCCTGCTCAGTTTGTTCGTCGTCCTGCTTAGTTTTTCGGGTGGTCTTGTTTGGTTGTCCAATGGTCCTGTTGAGTTGTGTTATGGTCCTGTTTATTGTTATCCTTCTCTTGTTTCGTTGTCCTGCGGCCCTGTTTACTTTCCCCTTGTCTTGTGTCGTTTTCTCCTGCTCCTGTTTAGTTTTCGCTTGGTCTTGGTTAGTTGTCTCCTGGTCCTTTTCAGTTTTCCCTTGGCCGCGTTTTGTTTTCTTGTGGTATTGTTTAGTTTATCCTGGTCTTGCTTTTTTTTCTGATGTCCTTTTTTAGTTGTCCCGTGGTCCTGTTCAGTTTTGCCTTGGCCCGGTTGAGTTTCTGTTTTGTGTTGTTGTTTTTTTGTGTGCGTTTCCTTCCTGTGGCCCTGTTTAGTTGCCCCTGGCCCTGTTTAGTGGTTTCCTGGTTTTGTGTCGTATGCTTAGTTGTTTGTTGTTTCGCATGGTTCTGTTTAGTTTTGTCTTGGTCCTGTTTCGTTTTCTCTTGGCCCTGTTTGGTTTTCGCGTTGCCCTTTGTAGTTTTCTCTTGGTCGTGTTTAATTTTCTGTTGGTCTTGTTTAGGTGTTTCTTGGTCCTGTTTGGTTCCCCCTGGTCCTGTTAGTTCCCCTGTGGCCCTGTTTAGTTTTCTCATGGTCCTCTCTAGTTTTTCTCCTGGCCATCCTTCGTTGTCCTGTGGTCCTGTTTACTTTTGCCATGGTTTTGTTTAGTTTTCCTGTGGTCCTGCGTAGTTTTGCCATGGTCCTGTTTAGTTTCCTATTGGTCATCTTTAGTTTTCTACTGTTCCTGTTTAGTTTTCCCCTGGTCCCTTTTAATTTTCTCTTGGTCCTGCTACATTTTCCGTGGCCCCGTTTAGTTTTCTCCTGGTCATGTTTAGTTTGTTTCCCTGTCCTGTTTAGTTTTCCTGTGGTCCTGCTTAGTTTTGCCCTGGTCTTGCTTGGTTTTGTCTTGGTCCTGTTCAGTTTTCCCGTGGTCCTGTTTAGTTTGTCATGGTTGTGTTTAGTTTTCCCATGGTAATGTTTAGTTTTCTTTTGGTCCTGTTTAGTTTTCGCGTGGTCCTGTTTATTTTTTCTTGGTCATGTTTTTTTTTTTTTTTTTTTTTTCTCCCCCCCTGGTCCTGTTTACTTTTCTCTTGGCCCTGTTTAGTTTTCCTGTGGTCCTGTTTAGTTTTCCCCTGTTCTTGCTTAGTTTTTTCGGGTGATCCTGTTAGTTGCCCTGTAGTCCCGTTCAATTTTGTTTTGGTATTGTTTTTTTTTTCTTGGCCCCGTTCATTTTTCCTGTTGTCATGTTTCATGTTCCCCTCTCCCTGTGCAGTTTTTTGATGGCCCCGTTCAGTTTCCCCGTGGCCCTGTTGAGTTTTGTTCTGGTGCAGTTTAGTTGTTTTTTGTTGTCCTTTTTAGTTTTCCGGTGGCCCTGTATAATTTTCTTTTGGTCTTGCTTAGTTTTTTCAGGTGGCCCTGTCTAGGTTTGCCCTGGTCCTGTTTAGTTTCGCCCTGGCCCTGTTCGCAGCGTTGCGGGCAACTTCGAGCGCCGCAACGCCGCAGACAGGAGCCGGGGCCGAATCCTCAAGCATTTTGAGCACCAAAACGTTGCAAACAGCAATTTTGAGAATCGAACCGCCGAAAATAGCAGCGCCGGCTGCTTGTTCAAATTTCGAACACCAAAACAATGCAAACAGCCGAAACGCCGCAGCCAGGAACTCCGAAATTAGAGCATTTTGAGCATCAAAACATTGCAGAGAGCCGAAACGCCGCAACCAGGAACACAGAAATTTGAGCAACCAGCCAGCATTACTGTTTTCGGCGGTTCGATGTTCAAAATTGTTGTTGGCAGCGTTTTGGTGCTCAGAACGCTTGAGGATTTGGCTCGGTCTTCTGTTTGCAGCGCTTCGGTGTTCAAATTTGCTGGCTGCGGCGTTTCGGCTGTTTGCAGTGTTTTGGCGCTTCCAAAATGCTTGAGGACTCGGCTCCGTCGTCTGTTTGCAGTTTTGCGGTGCTCAGAATTGCAGTTTGCGGCGTCTCTGTTTTCAAAATGCATCTGCGCCCGGCTCGGGCTGCTAAAATTTGTGTTCTGAGCGCTTGGGTTCTCAAAATTGTTGTTTTCGGTGGCTCGGTGCTCACAATTGGTGTTCGCAGCGTTTTGGCGTTCAAAATGCTCGAGGGTTCGGTTCCAGCTTTAGTTCTTGCGTGGTCCTGTTTAGTTTTCTTGGTATTGCTTAGTTTGTTTTTGGATTTTCCTGTGTATATATATATATATATATATATATATATATATATATATGTTGCGTTTAGTTTTGTCCTGGTCCTGTTTAGGTGTCCCGTGGTCCTGTTTAGTTGTGTCCTGGTCTTGTTTAGTTGCCCCGTGGTCCTGTCTAGTTTTGTCCCGGTTCTGCTTAGTTTTCCCGATGGTCCCATGTTGTTTTCCCGTGGTCCTTTTTAGTTTTGTTTTGGTTTTGTGTAGTTTTCTCTTGGTATTGCGTGGCTGTCCTGCGGTCCTGTTTAGTTTTCCTTTGGTCTTGTTTACTTTTCCCGTGGCCATGTTTACTTTTTGGCGGGCTCCTGTTTTAGTTGTCCTGTGCCCCTGTCTACTTTTCGAATGGCCCTGTTATTTTTTTCCGCGGTAATGTTTCGTTTTCTCCGCGCCCTGTTTCGTTGTCTTGGTCCTGCTGAGTTTTGTAGGTGGTTATGTTTCGGCGTCCTGCGGTCGCGTTTAGTTTTCTCCTGGTCCTGTTTGCTTTTTCCGTTGGTTATGTTTTCTTCTGCGGGATGGTTTTGCTAGGTTTCTTTTTGGTTATAATATTGAGCAGGGGTGAGGTCACGCGTTCGCCGGCATGCTCGGCGCCGCCCTCGCCGCCATCGTCGCCGGCGCCATCGAGCCCGCCGTTGCCTCATAGCCGTTTCGGCACATGCCAAGTGTCAAGCATCTGGGGCGCGCCGCGATGGGCGGCGCCGCGCTGGGCGACGCGGGCGCCACTTTATTTTCTATTTGGGGGGTGTCTCAAGCAGAAGTCGGCGACGACCGCGGGGAAGTCGCGGCCGTCGCGGAGGCGCGGCGGACTAGCGCGCAGCGGAGCGTCCAAGAAGAAATCTCTGCCTCTAGCGAGGGCGGCTCTGCCTCTGGCGAATCGCGGAAATCAAGGGGCGGCGCGGGGAAAGCGCAGGGCGGTTCGGCCCTGCAAGGGCGTCGCGCGGACTGCGACCGAGGCGGGTAGAGGAAGCCGGAAAAAAGGGCACTGCCGGCAGATCCGTGCCGAAAATTGGGCCCCAGTCCGTCGATTGCCCGCGCCCGTTCTCGGGGGGCGATTCCGACGCGCAGCGCTTCGCCAAGCGTTCTCCTTGCAAGACGGCGTTCTGCGTGAGATGCGATTTCCATAGACGTCGTGAGACGCGCGCGGCGCTATCTCTCCTGCCGAGTGGTTCGTCGCGACCGGCAGCAGGCGAGCATCGCGGCCCGCGGGGATTGGGCTGCCGAGCGCGCGCAAAGGCCGCGGCAGAAGGGCGGAAGAGCTCCCGCGGAAGGTTCTCCAAATTTGCGACTGTCCAGGCCCGCCCTTCGGCGGGCTTCCACGCGATATTCCAAGTGGAACAGCATCAGAGGTCAGCAGCGCGTCGACGCGCAGCGGGAGTGAAGCAGACCAAAAGATTTTGCGAAGAATTCTCGCCTAACCCACTGCCACTGGCGCGCGAAGATGCCCCCCCCGTCGGAACAGATGGGAGAAGTTGCGGCGGCAGACGCTGCGCTTCTGCGGGGAAGCGCGCCGTCGGCCCCGGAATGGAGGGATGCGTGGGCGCTGCTCTCTGCGACGTCTTCCCTGCGCAAGTGCGCTCGCGCGCGGCGGGGGCAGTTATCCGCGGCCGATCCGACGGGGGGGGGAATGCGGAAACGCAGGCGCAAGCAGCTCTGCGTGATGGCCGAGGTTCTGCGCGTGGAAACCCGCGAGTTGCCGCGTAACGCCACGTCGATATCTCTATCCCTGGACGAGTCGAAATACCGCGAGGTTGTTAGATATCGCGCTGATGTGCCTGCCCCTGGCGGCGGCGTCGCTCGCAGCGTCGGGGCTTCAGGCTACTGCCGCGCCGGCGTGCTCGGCATCCTCGATTGCGCGCAGAGCCGCTCCGCCGAGTTCGAGGAGGGTCACCGCGAGGCAGCTCGGAAGTTCCCTCGCGGAGTGTTGCGCGCCACTGGGGCGGGGCAGAAAAAAGCTGCGCGCTGGCGTGCGACGGGCCCCTGAAGTCGCGCGCCACGAGGGCCGTGACCAGTTTTTTCAGGAGATGGTGCCGCGAAGGGGCGGGGAGCAGTGTTCCTCGCTGCTCGCGAGCCCCCCCCCAACCTTGCGATGGCGATGCGCGATCCGGCGCATGCCGGGCGCCTTGCGAGCCAATCTTTGCACTGCGACGACGTGTTCGGCGAGGTGCGGCGCGAGCTTTTCGATGGCCGACACGCCCTGGCGCCAGACATCATGAACAGCGAGAAGTGGCGCGACCTCTCCGCGGCCATTCAAGAGGACAACGCCCTGCCTCTGGCGGAACTCGGCGTCGGTCGCAAGCCCATGGAAACAGTTGTGCGGAATTTATTGTTCGCCGAGCAACGGTTCGATTCCACGGCGGGGCTTGTCGGGAAAATTGCGCTGATGTTGCTGCCAGCTGCGACTTTGCTGGCTTGCACATCGCCAGACAAACGTCGCGAGGAGGGAGTGCGCGCGCGAGCCCGGACTTTACTTACAAGGCTCGACGCTAAGTTTTGCATGGCCGTTGGCGCGTCGGCGGATCGGGGCATCATTTGCAATTGGTTTTTGCGTTTGTTCGACGTTGCCAACCACGACGTCGTTTCATCGCGATTGCAGATCGATTGCATGGTGGAGACATTGGGCGCTGCATTAAAGGAAGGGCGTGTGTTTCAGAGGATCATGCAGGCTGCTCCTGGCGCCGCCGCGGCTGCGGCCTCGTCGGCGGCCGCGCGCGACGAGCCGCTGCCATGCGCGGGTGCGCCGGGGGGGGCGCCCGGCTTCATCGCGACCGCCGTGATGGCAAATCTTCGGCGCAAGTCTGTCTTCTTGGCTGGCGGGGTTCCCGCGTTGCACCGGGGTGAGCCTCGGGGCGCGCGCAAGAGAGAATTGCTCGAGAGAGCGCAGAGCGTGGCGTGTCTGACGAAAGAACGACTGCTAGCTGATTTTCCTCAAAAAGATCTCCGTTCGGCATTGACGATGTTCGATCGGCGCTTCGTCCGGAAAGGGTTTGGGGATCTGCACTGTCTGA